CCACTGTGTAGATGAGGTGTTTGCCTGTTGGAAGAATAATGCACAGTCAGGCGTCCGCCACTCTACTGTGTGGGCAAATGTCCCGGCTTTCTTTAATAGACATCTTGCAGTGATGAGCTTTACAGTTTCCACTCTTCACCACGGCTACCTTCTGAAAACCTACTGGGATAAAAAGCGCTGTCGCTTATTCGGCAATCCCTTCGAAGCCCACTAGCTAGCAGCTACTTGACATATAGCCAGATCAAGCAGCGAACCACTGAAAGCAACGGTCACGCAAGCAGGGGCTCGCATACAACCTTCCCACAAATGCATACCAGTAGCGAAAGTATAATCCGCAAGCTGGCCCTTTACCCAATTCCGGGTTTACTGGACAGTGCATAAGTTCCAGCATGAAATCCAACTCCGCTCCTGCGCCGACATCATTTAGATTATCCGCGGTTGTGTGGCAACAGGCTGGTTCCTGCAGCCCGAACGCATAGCCGCAAATACTACTGTCTGTATGCCTCCATATTATCATATCTTCGGTTCCAGCAGGGGACAATGTGCCATTTTGATTCTCTGCACATGTGCGCCAGAATCAGGCCAATGACCAACCCTCGTCGGAGGTACTCGCCTCAGAAGATGTGGTGCACGCAGAGGAATAGTGAATTGCATTCCAACAACTACACCCATCCAGGAGACCTCATAAGGGCCGCTTGCCGATGCACTAGTTCCCCAAGGATTTCACGGGCCCGCAGATGGTGACTCCCCTGGGCTTGGCTTCGCTTGTGTATTCCTATGTCGCTGTCTGCTCCATCTCCTCGCCCTTGGCGAAGGGGACAGACTCGCTGAGGGTGTTCCCGATTGACTCCTTGTGCTTGCCGAAGGGGACAGGCTCGTTGAGGGTGTTCCGGATCGTGCCTTGTGAGCTTCCTGCTCGGTCACAGTTTCACTCAATTCCGCGTGAGCTTCCTGCTCGGTCACAGTTTCACTCAATTCCGTAGAACCTGAACCCTTGCGGTGCATCTCTGTTGAGCCTGATGTGCCTTGAAATTCATCAGTGGCTTGCATATGAGGGCCAGAAGACGGTGTCCAAGGCGGCATTGCAGCAAGACCGGGGTTCATTTGTGGGGGAATGAAAATGCCTCCCCCACGGGCGACAACCCGACTGAGTTCTGCACATGTATATTGTACCGGCAGCACGGTCATGTCCTGTGGGGTCAAAAAGCCGAGATCAATGAGTGGCCGAGAACCTCTTAGCTTCTGGAAGTGGAAGATAAGCTGTCGACTTGCTGTCTCCCGGGAAACCTGAACTGCGCGCATATTGCAAAGCGCTTCCAGTACACGCAGGTGTTGCTCCACCAGCGGTGCTACCTGCACTGCAGAAAGAGTCTCCGTCAGCCACAGCAATCCATCCACCGCATTCCCATAGTGTTTTCGTGCAGTCTCAGACACAGCCAAATTTGCCTCAACTTGTATTGCGTTTTTATGGGGTGGTAAAGAGGTGGCGGCACCCCATGTACATTGGATATCTTGGATAAGTTGAGCAAAAATCTGAAGCTGTTGAATGAACAGGGTGTCTGGCGTCTCGGTATTCTGGCTGTATGAACAAAGCTCCAAAGCAAGGCCATACATCGCTCTTCCCAGTTCCCTTCTATGAACCTGAATGCTGCGTGGAACGCGTGCAAGAGCAGCCATGTCCAACGTTGCTAGTCTTAGCAGCATCCAAGTTAAACGTCGACCATGCAGTGAGCTTAGCCTAGGCAGGAGCGAGCTGCACTTTCTTACAGTGCCTATTGAGTCACTGAAAAAGCTCACAAGCCTCTCCATAACTTCTGCTGGTAGCAATCTGCACTCCGATCCAGCTTCTTCACTTGCAACGGNAGCTTCTAACGAATCCTCCACTATCTGCAAGAGTGTCTGCACTAGAAGCTGGGCTGTAAACCGTTCCTTCACTAAGCCGTGCCGACTGCGACCAGTGTCTTTCCCCATAGGATGGCAAATGCTCATCAGCCCCTGCTCCACCGAAGCCCTGTGCGGAGGGTGTTTCATGTCCTTCCGTCCGCCAACGATCGGATGGTACTGGAGGTCTTTGACTTCCTCCAATCGACGAATCACCGGATGCTTGACCTGAAACTGAAGGACTTTGTTCGGGCAACCCCGAAGGCGGAATTTGCGGTGCTCCATACGCCACCAACTGCGTATCAACTTCAGGAGCTTGACTAGACGTTGTACTGTGCCTAAACGTTCCCTGTCGTGCTCGTATCGATTTCCTCCTGCCTCCTCTTCCATAATAAGGCAAAGGCACACCAGGCCCTTCAATAGGAAATGGTTGTACGGGAGGCTCTCCAGAACCTTCAGTCCACCTATCATGGGATGCCCGCTCTTGAACCGAGTAGCTTCCTTTGTGCCCTGCGACGGACTCAACTCGCACTTCCCCGTAGGCCTCAGAGTATGTACCCTCGCCAGCAAGGGGCTGTTCGCGCGGTTCATAAGACTGCGCAGCCGACGAGTCCCCTCTCCCCTCGAAGTCACCAGAGTCAGCGCCCCCCTGGCATGGCCTATCTCCCTCTGCAAGCGACCTGGCAGTATCGCCCGACCTACCCTCAAAGCGTTTGTTGTAGAAACAAAGTACCAGCAAGTGTACAACTGCCAGGACGGTCAATACCGCGGCTGGCAAGAATTTGCTTCCGCTTGATGTCCCTCTGATACGGTGAGCCTGTCCTGCATAACTGAGATGTGTGGGCCTTTCATATTCTGAGGAGACCCCAACATCCCATATCTCGGCAGACGGTCGGCTCTTCTCGTGGAGACGATCCGCAGTGGGGTCCATTGAACCATGAGTGCGTAAACACGGCATATAATATACGTCTTGGTAGCCATGGCAAAAATAACGTCCCCTCGAGTAGACATATCACCTGCAGAGAAGTCTACCTGCCGTCATATCTGCAAACCGGCTGTCTGCCATTGTACTGTGCGGTCTTGAGTTTCGGCTTGAGTCAACGAAGCAATAAGCAATAGGGAGAGCAACACGCCAATAGCCCACCAACAAGAAACAGAGAATACCTCGCAATAGAAAAAATTGAAGATTAGTCTATTTATAATCCACCACATGTGTAATGAGGACCTTGTCTTCAATATTTTTATGGATTGCACGGCTGGTTCTCCTGGTCCATTGAGAGCCTAATGGGGCTTGTTGCGACGCGCGTTCCAGTCCCTCAATCCACACCGAATGGGCAGGCGAGAAATTAACTCGCCGAGCAGTGATGAGTGATTGTAGAGCCGTTTTCGTCTTCAATGTCGCCTCCAAGGTGTTATTACCTCTTGAACCTTGGCTGTGGACCGGAGCGCTCCCTTCGTGGTCGCCGCACCCCCGGTTTGCATATTTCACCTTGTCTTACCTGACCTTTGTGGGACAAAGGTGACGGCAACGCCTAGTGATAATATCGGCATTCAGCATACTGGGTGCGCCCAAATTGAGGTGGGTGACTGGCGGGTGGGACTCTCCGAAGTTCTAACGGGTGTTTCAACTTGCGCTGTATCGAAGATGCCAGCTGATTCACCTTCAACCTGGTGGTGGACCCCGGCCGATAGCGATAGATCTCCTGCTATGTGGAAGTTGCTGCCGGATTCGGAGAGCAGATTGCTACAGCATGCACACGACGAGTCGTGGGATCGCCTTGAGCTTGACATAGAAGGCACGCTTTATGTAATATACCCGTTTTCTTCAAATGCTCAAACTCATATCGCAGTGCCACTGGGGAACGAAGGTGGCCCAGAAGCTGTCATAACTCGAGCCGTGAGCGCTGCCATGCAGGGACAATGCTGCTCACCTCGTGCGCAAGCGTTGAGGAGAAATAGGCATGCCTGCTGGCCTCACGTTCTGTTACAGAATGACGCTGAAGATGAACCAAAGATACCTTTGCAACTTGGTTTCCGANCTGGCCTCACGTTCTGTTACAGAATGACGCTGAAGATGAACCAAAGATACCTTTGCAACTTGGTTTCCGACGGGACTACCCTGGTATCCCAAGCGAGTCCTCAGGTCACGCCTCTGCAGCTCTGGATTCATCAAGGCGCACCATACCCGCCGTATGATGCCATTCCAGAGCTACTACCTACACTTAATTTCGAAATGCATGATGACTCTGAATGCACAATGTCAAAGCTAGTTCGAAGAGGTTCGACCCCAAGAGCACCACAGTGTCCTGCTGTTGCTGACATGCATTTTGCTGTCCTGTAGAACCCGACAGACTTGGATGGCTTCCAGCTAGTCTGCAGAAGGCGCCGTGAGCGTCATTCTACGAGTGCGTATTCGCATTGGGTACAAGATAATGCATCTTGTAGAGGGTCCGTGGGCTTTGTTTATGGGCGTTGCAGTGTCAGTTCTTTAAAAGTGTCGTATGTGCGTTTACCAAGCTGTTTTGGAAAAACTTTGGTTTAAAGTGTCTCTCCTCTGGTAAGAAACCTTGGTAGACATATGACGGCGAGTGCTTGGTTCATCAGGCCAGGTGACACTGCCAGCCAGGAGACCTGCTAGGGTGAGCCAAATGGCAATGTGGCGCGCCTTTCCAAAGGTTGACTTTGAGGTGAGCAGTACAGGCATGGAAAAATGTGGCGCCATTAGCCATATTAGCGAAGACATTGGAAAACCTTAGAATATGAATGCCAACAAACATGCTCTTGAATGACTATGCCGCTATCTATGCCGGATTTGCGCGTGGCCGCTATGGGTCGTGCTTCTTTGCTTGCGAGTGCGCCTCCTGGCGTCTAGCGGACGCCAAGCCATGTAACGTTCACCTGCTAAACGGAGCGTGCGCCTTGACGATTCAGGCGTGCGACGACTACCACGTAGTTCGTCGGGTGCTCGTCGACGGAGTGGACATAGCATTACACCATGGTGGGAAGCGAAAACTATCACCGGCTGGAATTGCTATTGCAGTGGCACACTTCGTGGAGCTTTCTTTTCCTGTTAGGGTGAGGCACGAATGATGCGCTTGCCGATTTTAGTGACCGCCTGACTGCCTTCAGCAGAGCCAGCGAGGCGTGGCGGTTGCATGCACACGTTGTGTGTCTGCTTCATGAGGTGTTGTGACTAAGGCAATGGATTAGACGAAGTGGCACACAGAACTGGAAGTCTGTCGCCGGAGGGTGTGAATATGCTTTGCTACCGCAAAGAATGCAGGAGGTGCACTCCCCGCGTAGCGTGTTCTTGTACTGTTTCAATGCAGGTGGTGGTCCCTCAGTGGCTCGCACTCATGCACAAGGANGCGTAGCGTGTTCTTGTACTGTTTCAATGCAGGTGGTGGTCCCTCAGTGGCTCGCACTCATGCACAAGGAGCATTGTAACCTATTCACTGAATCACCTGAAGCCTTGTTGGAGGTGCGGCATTGGCACACCGATGCACGTAGAAGCCACAATCATGGCATTACCGATTGCCAACCTTGATGTGGGCAGTGGGAATGCCATATAAAGGGGATGGGACTGCTTTTTTCTCATATAGGCTCTTAAGGACGATGACTTGCTCGTAGTTCTACCTGACCCTGGCGGAACAAATTGGCGTCCTAGCAGAACACAGCTCAAAGCTGCAAGCGGTGGGGTGTGACGTACCCGTTTTTTCCCTCTATGCATTGCTTGTTCTCTTCTGCGGGCTTGCCGAAGAGTGACTTTGTTGCCCAACATCCTTTGAATGCAGATGCTGAATACACAGTTGAGCTCTGCAAAACTGTTGACGCCGCCTATTGCTCCAATGATTTCAACCAGTTTTTGCAACTCCTGGTAAGTGTCAACCAGCGCCTTCCATCTTCCATCACTCTTGTTCACGAAAACAAATATACTAGGGCAGGGCCGAGCACAGCTTGGAGGGAAGATATTGCTTTCATTCAGGATGGCTCTACTTCACGTTATGATGACTATTTATATATGACGACTAGGTCATGCCTCTACACGTTCGACGGCGACAACTTTTACCACGTTTTGGATTCTCTGGGTGGGTTTCGGGGCACTTGAATTCAATCATCGTGTACATGTTTTAACGCTGTAGGCTATATCGCTGCGTTCATGTGGCTGACCAGACCAACCNTCAATCATCGTGTACATGTTTTAACGCTGTAGGCTATATCGCTGCGTTCATGTGGCTGACCAGACCAACCGCGCACCTTAATCGTGATCAGTACATATTTCCCGAGACTGGGAAATGCGGCTTTGTAAAATCTCTTGGCAAATCTGAGCTTCTTTGTGCGGTGCTCTGCCATGCGGTGCTTCAGGTAGAGGGAAGTTTGTTGACGGTCTCTTTTTCCGTCACAGGACAACTTAAGCCAGCCCTCAGAGAACCTCTACTGCATCCACATGTACTGTTCCCGTTGGTAGGTGTGTATACATGTGGGTAACAAGGCCTTCCATACGCCTGGCCCGGTCACAATTTAGAGCGATGCTGTCGTCTATGGGATGCATACTCGCCTAGTAACGTACCAACCAATAGCACGCAGTCAATACGTGACGCATATCCTACCAAGACGCTCAGCATGCTCAAAAAGACGTTGGCACCTGCGCGTAGCCTTCAGAAAGTGTCTCAGTAGCCATATCTAGCATCACCCTAAACCACATATCACAATGTAACTGGACAAATGGCGTTAGTGCAGAAATCGGTTTTGGGGTTAGCGATTGGGCTCCACGTTTCCTCTTTGTGTGCTTCACCCTTTCAAACAACTGACCGTTAAAGGAAGCCGCATTCTCTTGTGCTGCAATTTGTACAGTTCAAAACATGTGGGAAATATCGTTTTTTTGTTGCTAAGCAAATTGCTTTTTTGTTAACCTTGTTTTTTCGTTAGCATTGCTTCTTCTACAGATTGTTTAAACATGCGAGCACGTGCTTTTAAACGCACTCGTTGGATTTGTCTAATCCAACGAAGCACTTGCACAGGAGACGCATTTTAGAATACAGTAGGTGATAGCACCTATATGATTCGCCCTTCTTGACCGAACAGCAAAGATCGTAATCCAGAAATGAAGGGGAAGCAAAATATAACCACAGCGACTGGCTGCGGATTACGCTTAATGGAATTTGGGACGGCACCTCCGTAGGCAGATATAATAATTGCAACTACTGAGTGTTGCGTGACAACGTAACTGAACTACGTGGTGGAAGTCGCTTCGGAATACGCCAGCTTGACTTTCACGGACAAGCCACAAGAGTATATGTTCCAGAAGCTGTCTGTAAAGTCTTTGTGAAGGCTGGGAAGTAGTNCACGGACAAGCCACAAGAGTATATGTTCCAGAAGCTGTCTGTAAAGTCTTTGTGAAGGCTGGGAAGTAGTTAGTCAATAACATCCACACTTCTGTGGTAAAGTGCTACAATCAAACAAGTCACTACGCCTGTGCGGTGCCGCAGGCAAAGTGAAGTGGGTTCGAAGTGGATGCAATTTCCTCATCAGGGAAGTGACGAGCTAGCCTCCCTTGTTAGAACTAGCCAATTAAAATACAAGAAAGAACCGTAGATTGTATTGCTGTGCTGCAAGGTGCCCAACAGTCCTTGATCCCGTCCAGCTACAGTAAAGGCAGGGGAACTACAAAAACTCGATCTCGTCATGCATTTGCTCTGGCATACTGTTGAGACAGGCCGCAAACGGGGCTGTCCTAATTCCTCTCCGCCGCTGAATAGTCAGTGACCGGCGTTCAAAGCGCCTCTTGAGCTTGACAACATAAGAATTTAGACGCTAACTCCGAATGCTGACAAATGCATGAGCGTGAGTGTACGGGACTCTGGACGGCGACTGCTCTGTAACTATTATATCCAAAAACGATGAGAGGTTTATAGGCATCAATACAGGATGCACCAAACTTCCGAAGGACTCGTCAGGCGGCCTGGAGCTGACGTCGATGGCACTTCTGCACGATGCCAACTCACAGTTTGTCAAAGTGCCGACCGGTTCCCCCGTGAAACAGTATCACTGCATGCTACGAACGTAGAAGCGTTCGATGATTGCACCTGTTTGGGGCGGCTTTGACAATTTCCGCAGCTGGACTGCGTGCCGTCTAGAGCAGCTAATGCTCACTTGGGACTTCGAGAAGTCGCAGTGCGTCCCCTCGCCAGAACCCTACATTTGCTGCTGCTAGAAGGAAACCATGACCACTGGCTGTTCCCAATGAGTGCCCGTCAAGGTACGTACCAGTTAGCTATCCTCCTAAACAGGAGCGATAAACACTTGTGTAGCTGCTGATCCCAGCACTACAATGAGGGAGTAGGGGCAATCAATTCAGCGCAACACCTCACCGATTGGACTGGTCACTTGTGTTTCCTAGCGCGTGCTCACCCAAGGCTCCCCATCTCCACGGTAGTGTATGACAAGGCTACCAAAAATATGGCAGGCTGCGTCATCTAGGTGAACACCTCTTTGCCCGGTTTAGTCAGATATAGCTCCATGCAAAGCCCTAGCACCCGAGATAGAAGAAGAACAGTGTTGCTGCGGTTCTTAGGTATTCGTTCCTTCGTTTAAAGCGTCATTCACACAAGCGCAACGTGACAAAATAGTTCGGCCTCTGCGGAAGAGAGTTACCTTTTGCCTTGAAGACTAAGCATCTATATCGACTAGTTCTTGTTTTTAAATGCTCGAAAATGGCCTTAATCACGCTTCAGAATCCTTGGTTGTACTTCAACAAAATTGCACGAGAATATGCTTTTTCACAGTACAGACATGTCCACATATGAATGCACCTATTGATTCTCATGGCCGCAACAGCGACCAATATAGGTTACCTATGCATGCTGTAGCCGGCATCCCAACTTTAGTGTTTGATATGCCGCTTGCATGAAATATATCACAGATTCGGCGGCATGCCGTTCCTACTGGATAAAACCAGTGGAGCTGGTCCTGCCGAGGATGTTGCCGAAGATGTTGCCAGTGCGGCCGGAGTTCTCGATCGTCGCCGTTCAGTGTTCGCTGAGAGGGCAGTCTCGCAAGCGCCTCCCCTTTCTAACAGTTCAATACTACCTGCTCGTTAGTAAGTTATATGATCTGGTTGCAGAGGTTGTAAAAGTATTTCTAAGACAAAATCATTGTTGGGACGTCCACGCAGATGCACACGCAGACGCATCGTCGACCCAGATGCATTACCAGAAAAAGTAAGACGTGGCATCCAGGAACAATGGTTGAAGTGCACGTTCCTCGCCCGTCTGGAAAAAACTGCATCTTCAGGGATACGTAGCATGCTGCGTGGCCACCAACCATCCGGAACACGCCAATGAACGGCTCATTTCTTGCTGCAAATGCAGTTGCCAGTAGTCCAAATATGCTTCGTGCGAAGCAATCGGCAACGAATGCCCGGCTTTGCAC